AATACGTTTCTCCTTCATCTTTCATCCTGTATTTTGCACTGTACAATTTCATGCGTTATGAAGTACAACATGGTTCAGAAAGGGGTAAGGTGATTAATTAATCTTGAAGGTTAGCTTATGGAGTAAGAACAGAAAACCAATATTTCAGCAGAAATTCGAAAAATTCACCGACAACTATGCTACTGCCTGATGCAAGTTCCGAGTGCAGCTTCATGATGAGGCAAGGCCAACAGTGTTGGAAGTTGTAGCTCTTGGCAAGGTATCGACTATGCCATAAATCGTCGTTTTTGTGAAACGTGACAGCACCCACTTTGCCATTACTATTCTTTTCGAGATGAGTGAGCCCACTACACATCTATATGGTATTAAAGCCCTTTGCTGATGCTGCATGTGGCTGAGTACTTTGCAGTGGCTGGGAAGCATTGAACCATGTACTCGTGCAATTGGAGTTGCGTGATGACTGGTTCTTATCTTAATCTTCCACCATGCTATATTACAGAGGTTAATACATTTTCTTGCCCAACTTGACGCCTGTCTAGGGTATTTTTACAAATAAGTTTCAAGCACAAACCTGTTTTGTGGTTGAATACTCGTCTGCCATGCATGGGGCCCAGGTTCAAATTCCATTTGATCCAAGGTACTTTTTTTTCATTTAATTTTTTTATATCTATCTGTTGCGCCATCGACCGCGACAGAAACAGCGACGGCAATGCCACTCTACAAAGGAAATGGCACTTAAGAGCAGCGCTATAAAAATTGAGAGAAGTGATGTGAATAGTACTGCAATGGTAGCTGTATTTTTGGCAATCAAATGTACTCCATGGTTGAAGAGTCGAATGAATGTGTCAGATAATCTTGATTTAGTGATGAGAATGCAAAGCACTTCATAGTTTAACGAATAATGAGTGTTTAGAAAGTGACCCTACAGGTTCCAACTTATCTCAACATGAAACTGATAAAAACACAATTGTCCATACTTCCTCTAACATTTAAGCACTGCGAGGAAGCTGCACTTCTGGCCCCAAAGAGTGCAACCACATATTAGATCAGAAAGTAAACGGTCTGCCTGCCTCTGCATGATCAGTCAAAATAATGTTTCTGCCACTAAATGTATCCTATAAAGCTATATAAGGGCATGTGTACAATTCTTCTTCCAAGCTACACTACACATTGCAGAAGGACTTCACATTACTCACTGGCTGCAGCCCTTTGCCTGTGAAATGACGAAGAATCTATTGAATTTGATAACGTACATAGACAATTTCTAAGCACATAAAACAATCCCAACAACAGACCCAATAGTCATCTTTATGATGCCATTTGCAATAATAATTTGTTATGCTAGTCATTATTAATGAACAAATGGTGCCTTATTTGTGTTTCTTAGCATTGCATGCGACAAAGACCCACAAAATATTCACTAATATTACAGCTTTCAAAGTCAGTTTCAGACTAAAAATTTATTCGGGCACTGCCAGAATTGTCAGACAAGATTTTTTTTCGCTCTTTCTCGCTACTTTCAACAGATGCAAAATGCAGCTGAAAATATTCCAATAGGAACAACACAATGCCACAACTAAAAGCCAGAAACAAAACAATGCTTTGATGAACTCTGTGAATGTAAATTCCTTCCAGGAATACTAGAAGGTAATTTGTGAGGGCTTGTTTCCTTGTTTGGCACTATGTTAAGCATTAACATTCCATTTTCATTAACATTCCAGAGATATTATGAATAATACTTAACTTCATATATACAACAGCAGAGCATACCTTTTTGGTTCCTTTACATTACTGTTCTTATGCAAAAGCCCCTAATGCCCTTGGGGGAATAGTGGAAGAACAGAATTGAATGCATCAGTTTTTCCACTGCTCCCTAGAGAGCAACAAGTGTTTTTTCACTTTAACGCTTCAAATGTGTATTCCAAGCATTAAATTGATAAAACCCATTGTGCCTCCTGGGGAGTAGTGAAAGAACTAATGCATGCTTTAAAGTTTTGAAGAAGACTCGTCTCCAGTCAGCAGCCTCATCAAGGCTTGGTGTGCTGGATTTGCTAGGCTCGCTCGCCTTGAGCTGCTCATCGCTGGCATCTTTCTCGATGGCATGCTGCTCTGACCCGTGTTCTATTCACACAGTCACCACAGGAATGCACCATCAATAACCTTCTCAATGAGATAAAAGCCAGCCAGTATGCGTTTCGCCATGCAAGTTGAGTCGATGTTCTGTGTTGGAGCAGTTGTCCGTAAAAAGTATGGCATGGCCATCAATTGTGAGAACTCCTGAGGAGTGGCATGCTTATGAAGAACAGTGACGAGAACAGAGATAAGGTTTTCAGAAATTAATGACACTTTACTATGAAACTCCAAGTATAATGATAAACGTGCAGGGCAGTAAATATGCTTTAGCAACTCCCAAGTTTTGATGCTCCTGCATGGATGTGCAAGATGACCCACCACTTCAGCTTTCTGCCAGCTCCTTGCTAGCAGAAAGTGTCATCGTGAATCGCCTTCAGCATGTCCTAAGTGTTGACATGAAGCGTGCTGTGAAACACTACAAAAGACAGATGCCTGTGCTTGCATTCATCAAAAGAACTTATATGGTTTTTGGCACTAGAGATGAGCCATTGGGACCCAAAAACAAAGCAACTGTCTTCGCATCGGGAGCTTTTGGGTTTGTATTTTTCCCATACATTTAGGACCCAAGCAAGAAGATGAAAAGAAGCCATTTTCTGGAATGCTAAGAGAATGCTGCAGTTCGATTACCTGGAACATAATAGGGCCTTAAAGAGTGAATGCTATGCCAACAATCTCTGAAAATCCTGTGTAGTCACCATGAAAAAAACTATTGGTGACCAAAGTGTAACAACTCACCATTCTGAATGTCTTGCAATGCTCAGGCTGTCATTCAAGACCATCTTTTGAAACAGCCTAATCACCAATCCAAAAGTCTCAATGTGACCTCTGGTAACTTTTGGCAATCCCAAAGCCAGCAGGAGCACATAAAGAGATCAAGGTCCAACAACTAAAAACCAGACTGGCCCAAAACAGCAATTCGATTTTTTTTTTTTTTGCATGTGTGCATGAGTGAGTGCTTATCAGAAGCTTTTCAGAAATGTCAATATAATATAAAAAAAACAAGGAACAGTTTTGTTTGTACATGAACTGCAAAAGTTATGCCAACACTTTAATGCTATTATGCTAAGAATTTCATTGTCTGAAACTACAATGGCATCAAAATTTATGGCAGGTGAACATCTTACACCCCTTAGCTATTGCACAGTTATATTGTAGCCCCCTTGAATGACAGCTTGGCCATAGTTGATCACCAATATTTATGCATATATTATGTCATGAACATTCACCATCATATGCTACAGTTCAATTCATGAACACATTGAACAAAAAATTAAAAAGAAGAAAAACGTCCTACGTACAATTGATTGTGTGCAGCATCGCTGGGAGGTACTTCAAAGCATCGGCAATAGTAATCCCGTGTATACATAAACATTAATTATTCGGCCATAATAAGCGTTATGACGCAGCATAAACGGAGGCAATTACACGGGCAGATAGCGTCGCCGGCCGAAACTTGCCTATGCCGCCGCATTCTAGTACACTGTACCGCCGCATTAGCTGTGACCACCACCTTTATATATATGCGTTTGATTGAGCGAACATTTCTTTTCCCTCCGCCTCTTTCTCGGACAATTGTATTTTCAACGTTCGACCTTAGCACGCTACACGCCGATTATTTTAGCGTAAGCGATTTCCCTTTGCGTAATAAAGTGTAGTGACCTTCGCTCACAGTCTAGTCAACATAATGCAAGGAAAGAAAAAGAAGCGATTTGAATGCGAAACAAGCAACAGGGGCGCCTGATGTTAGGAAGCCAACCGCTGGCAGACAAGAAAAGCATTGATGCTCGATTTTACGCACCCTTTTTTGTTATTCAGTTAAATAAATGTCAGCGTTAGTACGGAGAGATTAAGCCACGCTTCTCCAGGCAGCGCTGGCAACACCCCTGCCCGCTTTCTTTATTTTTTCAGGGGCCATATAAAGACACTGCCGCGGGTTCCTATTTATTTGCACGAAATGTAACCAGCGGCGTGGACATGCAACTGGCATCTGAAAATATGCGGGAGATTGTACTTAATATTGTTATTAATCAGGTTCTGGAACAGGAATTCAGGCGCCGCACACTCTAATACTTAATAGCAATGTGCTGGGGAAAAAAAAAAAGGAAAGAAGCGATAACGCATATTTTACTCCAAAGTTAATTTGGATTGAAATTTTACTTTTTGACGTAATATAAATTTTAATACAAACAAGATTAATGCTACCAAATGGCCCGATTTGACGACGCAATGAAAATGGAGATACGTCAACAGCAGATGCAAGTAATTAATTAAAGTGAAGCGAAACGCCCTTGATGGCGTATCGCCCATTACGGGTAATGAAACAAAGTCGCCTAAAGAAGCCTGCAAAATTTAGCCTCGATAATAATGGTGACCTCCAAGCTTATGACTTAGGAAACACACATAATTATAATTGCATCACAAATACTGAACTAAACCTGAAATTCGTATATAGGTCAGCTTATTATGTTTACTTGTCCCAAATTTTTATAACGACATCGGATTCAAAGCGTCGCGATCGTTTCTACGAAAAGAATAAGGTGTTTTTATTCGCTGCTACGCACAGGATTTCTTATTTTTTCTTTATTATATACGAAAAGTGGAAGCGAAATAGTTGTATTTCAAAGGTACGACGCAAGCGGCTCTATTCACACGCACTTGTACTACGCTTGCAGGCTTCAAATCAACTGCGAAATTGCGATTTATCTTAGCATTAACAGCTCCCCGGACACTTATAGACTGCGCAGCAATGACATACACTGCACTACACGGGCACAGCGAGTCGCGTTAACTATTGCCAGGCAATGTTTACACGAAACTGCATCACATGGTGCATCAGCAAGATTCACGAAAACAAAGACGTACTGTACCTGGCCCTGGTGGGGTAACCTGCCGTCAGGAGTCTGTTCGGGCAAGAAATATAGCTGAATACTGGCCAACTGTGCACTGTGTTGGTGGTCTTTCCACAAAAGCTGCAACTCGGCGATGCAAGGGTCATCGTTGGGCGAAATCCGAACGTATACAAACTGGCCCACGGAGAGGGTGGCAGGACCACTTCGATTCTTGTATTCGAAGCCGCCGTAAAACGTGCAGCTGCCGCTCCGTCCTCGAGGATCGCCCACGAACGACATCGCCGCAGCGCTGAACGTCAAAGTTCAGACGGAAACGTGCAAAGCACACTGTAGTGCACTAGCTTAATCATCAAAAAGAAACACTGCAACCGCTGCAGCTACAACCATAGGCTATGCTACAACTATGGAGAATAAACATCACAATTGACTTCCCATCGTGCATTGCGCTTGCTAATATGGCGGCAACGTCCCAATGCGCGAACTTCGCGTCCCACACCAAGTAATTACCATAACGGTCTCTGCAGCCGAAGTTTTTTACCTCATCATGCGGAGAAAATTAAAACACGAAAACCAACTTGATCGCACGAGTTTATTACGCGCGCATTAATAGCACACACTTTGCCGTACACTAAGCGGTCGTTTGTTTTCAAATTTGCACTAGGAGTTAGTACATCGCAGCAAGATCAACGCTACTCTGGGCTGAAATTTTAAAAAATAATAATAAAATAACGGTCAACAATGTTTCACCTCAATGTCCACCATCACGGAGAAAAGAGTACCTGCTATGACCTTATGTCAATAAGTCCATTTCTTAGATGTCCATACTCAAACTTCAGGCGCAATTCGCCAACCCGACTACGGGGAAGCACGTCAGGAGTCCACTCAATAACGAACGGCACCGAATGGGGTGGGTTCCCCACTTTCAAGAATGTTTTAAGTTCCAGAGGTCTGATGACCGGTACGCCTTCAGCGTGCAGTTCTTGAGACAAACAAGGAGGTTCATAGGGCTCGAAAGTCCCATCGCGATTCTCTACGAAGGTTCTACTCTCCTCCAACGGCACGTCAGGAGTCTCAAAAATGTGACGCACATGCAAGAGGTTGGTGATGTTCCACGTGCACTTGGCTCCGTCCTTCCGCGTAAGTTGCCGGCGCCCACATATGCGCTGCTGCAAACACTCAAAAAACTGGTGAGGCACGTGAAATACAAGCGGCTCAGGCCTACCCGGTCGATCATAGCGCATTGTTTGATTGATGCGCTCCGTGACGCCCGCTAACCACTGCAAAAAGCTGAGAGACGGTTCGGGGTGCTTGGGCGCCACAACACGCAATTTGTCCGCGCTAGTAAGTGCACACATGCACGCGTACGAGTGGACGCAGTTTTGCGATGCACCCTTTCCGCCGCAATCACCGCAGCGCAGCTCACGGCGGGGGCTCACTCGAACATGCACGAAGCCGCCCTGACGGCTCCGCGCCACCAACACTGCCTTGGAGACACGTTGCACGAGCGGCGGGCCCTCGGTTGCGGCCAGCTCCCAGATGGCATCTCGCACGCTCTCCTCTTGGGCTTCCACAACGGAGTCCTTCAGTGGCAGCGCCTGGGCTTGCACCACACATCGCAGAGCGGCCTGCACGTGCGCGCAGCCAGGTGCACCCTTGCAGCCCTCACACTGGGCCCTACCTTCGGCCAACAGCTGCACAAATGTCCGTGCCTCGCCCCGTTGAAGGCGCACCGAATAGAGCTGGCCCGGCGCGTGCAGCCGCACAGCGTCGGCCGCGCGCTTGCGTGCGCCACGCTCGCGAAACACTGCGTCGCACGCCTTGTTCTTGCAGCGCACGCCGCGCGTGCCGTTGTAGGTACCGCATTTGGGACATTTCCGAATGCCGCGAAGGGTGGCCTTGCCAAGGTCACTGAACAGGCCCTTGCGAGATGACATTGGAGTCGGTGACTCACGAGATGCAACGGTGTTGGACATTGCACCAACTAAAGGCGCGAAAGCAAGTACTCCGCGGCCACAGCCTCGCGTGGTTACAGCAGTAGCAGCAGCAGTTGCGCAAGAATGCTGCTGATGCTGCCTGGCGATTTCAGCGACATCGTCCTGGCGGAGAAACAACTTCAATCCGCTCTTTCGGAGTAGTAGCTGTTCGCACGCATAGATGCCGCTGCCAAGCCATGTTTTTATAAAGTCCCTGAAAAATAAACTTTTTATTTTTCAGTGGCTTAGGGGACGTGTAAAGGGCTCAGGTTGATGGCGCAGAGTTTTTCAAAGCACTGGGATTTAGGGACAGATAGGGCAAAATAGACTTTAAGGGGGTAGAATTAACTATTAGGAGGTTATCTGATTGGTGGCTAAAATCAAGGCACGAGTGAACATTAAACCCTTAACTGCAAAGTATCAGTCCTCAACTTCACTATTTAAAGGAAGAAAAAAAGATAAATCTATTTTTGGTTCACTCAGTATTACGGCTAGTAGGCGTTAGCCACCGCCCAATCTAAAGGGTACAGCCATATCAATCCATCCATTCATTTACCAACGTTTATAGATACGTTGGCTTTTACGGTTTTGCTTGTTGGCTGAATTCATGCTTGCTAAAGCACATATCAAGGAAAAGGACTGACAGTGTAAATTCCTACATAACACCTCCCTCTCTCACATACAGATAGTAAACCACAAAAACAGTGTGTGGACTATAACTACCGCAGCTATGGCATCTGGGTTTTGTTATGCTTATTCATATACTCGTTAATTTACAGTCGTTAGTTTCAACACTATATGTTTATGAATAAATAAAAAAATAAAGCCAAAGTTTTATTTTCAAATTTTGCGCCAAAATTTACGTCAGCATGACGACACAAATTTTGAGGTGTTCTTTATTGGCTCGACGAGATTGCCTGCATCTTGATTGGTTTAGTCCCTGGACCCTTCAGAGGACAATCTACTCCATTTTTATCGATTTAGAAAGACGTACGCTCCGAAGACGCCGTAAAATATCTGCCACCTCACGGTGAGTGGTGCGGGAAGTCCAGGGTGGTACGTGTCGCCAGACTCGCCCCCCGCACTTTGAGCGAAAAAAATGCAGAAAATTCCGTTGTACCAAGGAGGTGAGCAAATGTACTACGGGTGCGTCGTTTCTGATTAGTTTCGTCTTTTTTTTTTTTTCGATCGTTATTTATCCACAAAGGTGTCCTTTGTAGCTGTTCCAGTACGAAGGAGGAATAAACTTTATTGACAAGCAGCAATTGAAAAGAAAAAAAAATCTTCCTCTTACTAGGATAAGGATGGGCCGGTGGGGATTAGTGCAGGTGACGTGATTGCATACTTCATGGGCAATACCGAGGGCAAGCTGTGCGAATTAGCACAGCCAGGACGCCAATTTTCCATTGTGGCATCACGCATGTGCAAGTTCCGGCCTATCCGGTAAGAAGGAAAGAGAATGCGGCGCACCTCGGCCACAAACGTTCTCCTTTCTGGCAAGCGGAGCTGACTGCGTTGGTAAAAGCAACGGGCCCCTGTGAGAACTCGGCACGCTTGCTGACTTGCCGGAAAATTCCAGTTATCACGTTAATTCTTGATATTGACCAACTTCTGCTTTCCTTTTTTTACTTATTCTCACCCATTACATACGAGAATTTTACACTCCTGATCACATTCACTCTTTTTTTTTTCTTCCACATTGAGCTAGTAAAAGCACCCAAGACCCAACCTTCGAGATTACAGTGTAGGAGGAGAAGAGAGGGCTACCCGTGAGTCAGGACGAGGGGACACTCGGTCGCCACGGGCAGCCAATTTCTTAATCCGTCCCTGCGGCAGCGCCATGCGTGTGACGTTTGCAAACTAGGGAGCACATCAAGAGCGCTGAGCTCAGAACTGTTGCTGCTGGCGCGAGGAATGCGTCGCACGAGTGTTGCGCGCTGCATAATTTTTTTTCGTTGGGCGGCCGGCCAAAAATCATATAGGTCAGCAAAGCAAAGAGAGCCAGCCCGACAGCGAAAAGAAAAATACCCCACATTTTTATTTTCTCTTTTTTTTTCTACTTTTCCAGTCGAGGTGAAGCAACACAGGTCAGTGTGTCACTGTGTGGCAAAATTTAAATCGTTAAGATCTTTTGTTTCTATGAAGGGAGGGATGTAGATCAACTAATTCTTATTGGCGATTTTTTATGCAAATGTACGCACGTTTGCTTAAAGCGCCAGACTTTCAGCAAAGCCCGACACGCCACTGTCCTTCTACACGAGCCATAGGTGATTCCACTTTGCACTTCTAATGCAGAGCGCACTTGCCATGGGAATTTACAAAGAAATCTACAAATCGATTCTTGAGGCTGACAAAAAATAAAAGCTCTATTGTATGTATTCACCGACAACGAAAGAATGCGACTAAAACTGCGTCGAAAATTTGTGCGATGCCTGCATGTGTGTGACAAGTGTTTTCACACATGCACTTTGGTTATACCTAATTCGATTACTACGACATGATATGTGAGCGAATCTTCAGGGTGTGAAATGCCGTTGAAAACCACCGTTGAAAACCGCTGTTGTATTCTGCACTTTCTGAACTTTTTTTTTCTATCTAAAACGCTGTAAAGGACAAAAGTGTTAGCTAAAGCTTATTCTCGTTCTTGATGACCCCTATTACGTATAAGTGATATCATCTCAATTTGTACAGGTATACAATTTTTATAATGCGGTGCTGGTTAAACAATGACGAGGTTAATCATATGGTGGTTTCGGGACGTTAAACCGCGCATGTTAATCACTCAAACAATGGTTAGGTGTGAGAATGCGGCGCAACATTCGATTATTATTTTAACAACGTGCATCTGAGGCCGAAACAATCTGCACATTACATGCTGTCACGGTTGTCGAAATAAAGTCCATAATTCAAGGCAGTTAGGCACGGAGCAATACTTTAGGATTAGGATGTCGTAGGTAGCCGACGCATCTAGCCTTGCATAATTTGCAAGCAATTGTTCCGACCGGTTTCCTCTTTGCTAATTGTATCTAATGTCTTTTAGTTAGTTTGTTTTTCAACTAAGCTAGTGCAGGCTATTTAAAAAAATCGCACACAGTATGACGTGAGCCTGCATAAGCCGGCGGCCTCTGTGCTATTCCACATGCAGTATTGTGCCATTACTCTATCTCACTGCGCCATGCAGTTGTCATTCATCACCAGACACATGCGTGGTCTGTAGCATTGAAACATTTTAAAAGAAGTCGCGACACCTGTTTCTTGAAGATCCAGTGACCACGCGGAAGCACAATATCAGTCACGCTGTCGCATGGCGAGCCTAAACGTTGCAGTTCATCACATAAACCTTGCCGTTCCTTCTTAAGCTCACTACACTTAAGCGAATAACGCATGTTTATCACCATTTTTCTTCCACTTCGGGCCCAAGGGCGCAGCGTAGAGTCTGATATAGTGGAGCCAGGCTGGTGTACGAGCTGATCCCGTTCGGATGCGACTAAGCAAGCAGGCCTCTTCTCTTGATAGCCCTTTTGTCACACTGGCTGGTGAGGCGTCAGCCATAAGGAGTGGAAATGCTTGTCAAATTTCTCAGTGAGGCAGGGCATGCACAGGCTCAGCATATAAATTTGATGATTTTCTTTCACACGCAAGGAGGCTGTCGAACGTCGGCGTCTGAAGACGCGAACATTCCCAAATCTCCACTTGATATATGCATGCATAAACATGATTGATTGATTGATTGATTGATCGATTGATTTATATGTGGGGTTTAGTCCCAAAACACGAAGTCCTTTTGTTTTTCACGGTCCTTTCTTTCTGCACTACAGAACATAAAATAAACTTTGATTTGATTTGAAAAACCACCATATCGATTATCAGAGACGCCATGCATAAGTATACTTGGCCCGGTATAACGACGCCTGTCCAGGACGTGGCGCTATTCCAACAATCTTTCACGTCACCGTCAAGTGACACACCTCTTTCCTGCTTCCAATCCTTGGGTCAGGGCAGTGGAAATTTCTTTCCTCCTTCCAATCCGTGCTCCAGAGCAGTGGAAATTAAGGTAACCTTCGCGACGGCGCCCCCGGAATCCGCCTGGCACTCTTTCAGTGGGCTTTCGCAGAGGTTGTCATGGGTGTCTCGGGATATAGGGACCCTCCCCGTTTCCTGTGCATTTAAATAACCAAAATGTTTTCATTATCACCAGCGCAACGACAACGCAGACGAATGAGGGGAACAAATCGCAGCGCTGACTCGCAATTGAATGTTTATTCAAGCTTGCACATCCATGAAAGCTTTCGATTCTTCTTCGGCATATGATAGCGGAATGACAGTGCAAATATGTCGCGGGAACTGATCTCGCGCGACAGCTATATATAGTGTGCCTACTAAATCATTTTTATGAGCAACAGATGAAAAAAAAAAAGAGTCGGACGTAGAACGTACGTAGTCTGCAGTCGTGTGCATACAAAGACCGAATGCCACTTCACATACTGGTGCTCAGTGGTGCCAACTTTATTTGATAACGTTATGCCCTGCGCCGCAGGTTGGCTCCACACGGGAAGCGGCTGTTTAGCTTTTATACGGGGGTTCCCAAGAGTTCGTCTCATGTCAGTTTTGAGGGAGCCGGCGGGAGATGAACTTACGGGAACTCGTCAGATGAACTGATGAGGACCGATTTGGGAGAAAACCTCCGCATAATATGCGATCTTGGATTGCTGGTTCGCTTGTAGACAACAATTTTGACAGCTCTGATTCAATTATCCATGTGTGATAATTTCCAGAATACGAGGACTGGTGAAAGAGCGCGTTTGTGGGCGGATTTTGGCGCGTATACACTCTAGTGAGGTATAGTCCCCTGGGGATTTGTGAGAGCACTTTAAGAAATCAGTGCGTCAACTGTGCAGAGCAGGGCCGAAGGGCGCACCTATCGGTTTTGTTAGACTTCGGGGCGCCCGATGCGGATCTTCATTCCCCACCTTGGGGCACAGACGCACATAATCACGACGCTTAAGCCGCCCCAGTTTTTATCCTCACCGGGCGGACACACCCCCTTCAGAGAAATTCGAGACTGCTTGAGAACGGCCGAGCAGAAGTGCTCGCAATCGCCAGTGCGCTGACAGTTGGTTCTGTGACAGTGCCAGAACCACTCCCAACGTGCATAACCCCACTTTTACCTTGGAGCTGGCTTTGGGCCCGGATTCCACCTCCGAGACAAAGCTGCTCGATAAACACAAAAGATTTATTCATTCAAGGACAAAAGGTTGAATCTCTACCATTGTCATTTAAATGACAATGGCAAAAATTTTAAGTTCTTACTCGAACCAGATAACTATTGTTGTACTCACTGTGATTAAAGAAAACGAATAAATTGGATACGATTTTTTTCGTGTGTGTGTGTGCGTGTGAATCGATTGGGTTTATAACTGTTTCCAAAGAGGAAAGCTCGTAGATTTGAAACCGGCTAATGTGCATTCAATGTTAACCAGGGAGCCGGATCAATTACGCATGTCACCGATTTTTAAGGCTGAACTATAAATTCCATCATCTCATAGCCAGGTGCATGCAAAGCTTTTGCTTACACAAATTGTCGTTGTTCTTGGCAAGGTACATTCACGGCCGCTGGACCTTGTTTTTCATCTAGCGGCCGTGGTACATTGTACTATGGTCCCTGGAATACTATTATAGGGACCATAACTGTACTTGTAATGAATCATTCCATCGGCACAAATGCACGAACAAATTTTTATGTTTAATTTCGTTTTTACCAGACTCCACCTGTAATGTAAACAATAAGTTATTTGTGCTCTAAGAGGATAATCATAATTTTTTGAAAGGCCATATATGTAGGAGGCACAATGCAAGCTCCTCAGCGGTGACGTGCGAACAGGGTGCTCTGCGACCGCAGGTCCAGCAGCGTTGCCCTTCTGAGCGAAATAGCGCAAGGGCGTAGGTAACATTAGCCGCCTGTTCCTGGCGCCTCTGGAAAGCGTGCCAGCAATGTTCTACAAATCGGCGCGGCGTAATGCGCAGTCCACCAGCGACCGCGACACAGGCGCGGCAGCAGGTGTCCGCGGCGTCCAGCTCCACTGGGTGCCGCCGGAACCTGGGGCAGGATGGCCGCAGGTGGCGCGCGGGATCGATGATGCGGAAGCCCTCCGTCCACCACCCGGCGTGGCGGCTATTTTGGGTGAAGGCCCGCTTGGCGGTGGCCCAGCTGCCTGGGGGCGCCCGGTGTGCGCCCGATTTGGGCAGCCGCTCCCAGCGGGGCAGTAGAGGCGAACATGTCGTCGCGGAGCCCGTCGCCCCGAGCGGGCCGGCGGCCCGCGTTCCTCAGCCAGCCGTCGGTCATCAGCTGGCAGTCGGATCCGACGAGGCCACCCCAATATTTAATCCTCAATCCTATGCACATTGTGAACCTGACGGCTGACAAGACGAAAAGCTGCGCCGTTCGCGCCGCCCAAAGCATCAAGGCGTTCAGCCAACGCTGGTTCTCGCACATTCTGCTGCTGCTCGTTCTGCTCGCGTACGCAGCCATGGGGGCTGCGCTCTTCCAACTCATCGAGGGTCCATTCGAAGACAAGCAGAAGCAGACCATCCTGAACGCGCGCCAGTACATCATCGAGGACCTGGTACTTGCTCAGCGCACCCTTTCCGTGGCCGGATTCCGGCGGCACGCTCTGCGGCGGCTGCGTGAGTTCGAAACGCAGGTGCGTGTGCTCGAGGACGAAGCGCGCATCGTGAGCCACTCGGAGAAAAAGATCTGGTCCTTTTGGGGCGCTCTCTTCTACTGTGGCACCGTTTTCACAACCATCGGTGAGTGCATGCGCCATAGCGGCACCCGACCTACATTCCGGATGTCGCAGGATACGGGAACATCGCCCCGAGCACGATGGGCGGCATGGCGGTGACCATCCTGTACGCCTTCATCGGCATACCGCTGCTGCTCATGGTGCTGGCCGACTTGGGCAAGGTGTTCACGCGCGGCATCAAGTGGCTCTTCCTGTCGCTGCGCCAGCTCGTCCGCACGGGCCGCTGCGGCAAACACAAGGCGAAAGCACCCCCTCCGCAGGTAGGGTCATGTTGAGCGTCCAGTGGGTTACCGCTACAGTTACCGCGCTTGTTTGTTTCCTCGCAGCTACAGTACGTTGCTTTCGTGTGGCGCAAGGTGAATGACACCATGGCGTACGTTCCCTACCCGGCCTACCTGAAGCAGGAGCCCACCACACCTACCGCCGAGGAAGGCGGTGAGGAAGCGAGCAAGGCCGCTAGCGAAGAGGAGCTAGTCATTGACGACCAGTTCAACTTGCCTGTGTCGCTGGCCCTCCTTCTGCTTTCCATCTACATGACCGTCGGCGCCTGCATCTTCACCATATGGGAGGAGTGGAGCTTTTTCGAAGCCTTCTACTTTGTTTTCATTTCGATGAGCACAATAGGATTTGGTGACTACGTCCCAGACCACCCAATGTTTATGATGGCTACTTTCATTTACCTGCTTTTTGGCCTTGCGCTCACTTCCATGTGCATCAACGTTGTGCAGGAGAAGCTATCGGCCATATTTGAAAGAGCTCGAATGCAGTTGGGGACAACCATTGGATTCGACGCCATGGTGATAGACCAAGAGCGAAAGGAGCCTTTGGAGAGCGATATTGACGAGGCAGTGACTAAGGACGCCATCGCCAAAGAAGCTATTGCCAAAGGACTTGCTGCCCAAGAAGCTGCGGCCAAGAACGCTGTGGATAAAAAAGTAGTCTCGAATGACGTTACAACTAAAAATAAGACCCAGCACAAAGAGCCCACCTGAACGGCCTTTTGAAAATAAATTATGCCCCCTGTAGGCTCTCGAACTAAGCCATGTCAGGCATGGCAGGAGAGACAAACATGCTGCGAACACACGCGAAAACACCAGACGCTCACCACGGTGCTGCAGTGTAGAGCTGAAAGTTAATCAACAGCCGCACGACAGTGTCCACTATTGCTCATAACTGATGTAGTGCAGATGTGACAGCATTTATGCTGCTGTGGATCAATGTGTTACTCAATTTGGTCATAACTTTGGTCAGTTTTTTTACACCATGGAGGTTGGCACCTGTTCATACCGTTTACTACTGCCGCAGCACCAGCTGCATCTTGTGTGATCTTGACAACAGCGCTTTGTATTCAGAACTTTAGATGTGAACATTACATCTACAGAGCTGAATGCACTCATTCCTTGTCGATATAAAATAGCTGACAAAGAGCATAGAGGGCGCTTCTTAACACACTAATGCAAACAAGCGTTGCTATTCTCTCCATTCTTTGTTTGTTGCCCCGCCGGTTGCCCTAGTTACCGTGTGTTGCACCGTCAGTGTCGCTAGTGTCGCGTTGTCGCTGGTTGCTGTTGCTTATCCGTGCTTCTACCACGGTAAACTCGTGGTGGTGGTAAGCGCGATGCATTTCTTCGATGGTTAAGGTTTCCTTGTCTGCTAGAAAGGAATATGTCGATCCGAGGACAGATTTGGGCTGTTCTAGATGTTGTACTGCGGGTGCCGCCGTTGTTTGTGATGGACGCCGTTTTAAGCTGCAGTTTGGGGCTTCGACATGGCAGTGCTGTTCAACCAGGTGTCGATGTAATAAAAGACAGCAGTGACGGGAGCAATTCGTCCACTGCCCTGCTTGAGAACGACATGTTTACGCACTTCGACCTACCGACGTTGTTGTGGTCGTTTTTGTACCTGCAAGGTAAGCCGTCAACAGTTTTGCAATTCATAGCTAACGTTGCGGTAGACGAATGTGCACGTATTCGCGGTTTAGCGCTTGAATATGCTTACCACATTTAACCGTCGACTGCGATTTAGTGTGGAATTCACGACGATGCCTGTTTTCAAGTAAAAGAAAGCGTTGACATGTTGCGTTTGCATATGTGATATTATGGAACATTCGTTCAATGATATGCCCATTCGCTTCATTCATTACGTGTGGCGAACACGCGCGACTGTTTATGTCATCATTGAAGTGAATATCGAGTGAATACCTGACTGTGTTGTATTTTGTGGCTGAAAAAAAAAACAAATGAACAAAGCTGCTTCTAACTCAGCTGTGCTGTCTGAAAGACCGACGCGAAGCGATGATTTCGAACGAATATATATATATATATATATATATATATATATATATATATATATATATATATATATATATATATATATATATATATATATATATATATATATATATCACTTCAAGGAAAGGAGTTTTGTTTTTGTTTTTTTGCAGCACATATACATATCTTCAATAAGTGCATGTTGCCCTTGCTTGCTTGCGCGGACTAAGATGAGGGAGGGAGAGAAGAGAATGCAAAGCTACCTTTTGGCTGGAAAATTTGGCAGTGATGGCATAAAGAGAGACAAGGACGATATGTATCTCAAAAGCAATAAGAACGGCCAACTTATCAGGCCAAGGGCGAAGTCGCTTGGGGACTGGGTGGTCAGGCGACGTCTGATTCCCCCCTCCCTCCCCCCGCTCGACCCGGCGTCTACTAGAAGGCATACTTTATGGCAAAAAGGTCGACGCACCCTGCTTACGAAAACATCCGCATTTGGCAGTGGCTCCAGCCACTGTGAGTGGACCATTTAACTGCCTACAAACGTTACCTTTTTTTTTTTTAATCCGGGATTGCATTGCAACAGCATTAAATTTGCGTGCTAATCAAAACTGTTGCGATTATATGTGTGGCTGTCCACAAAAGTGGCAATATAACGCTACCTTACCAGAATCGCAGTCACGGCGCCTGCGGCAGGTTGTTCTCAACGTATAGAAAGATGTTCCATCTTTAGTTGCGCCCTATCCAGTTAAACTAGATATCACTGTATTGACGATCATGGGGGTCGCTGCACTGAACCTAACACTGATTCACGGTACGCTGCTGGGCGTCGTTTTCTCGTTTTGTGCGCGGTGTAGAGTTAACGATACCTATAAACACTGTAAACAGAAACCTAAATTTTATTCTGACGGTGAGCTTTACAGCTAAAAAGAATTTCTTCGACTATTGACCTTCCCTCACAGCCCAGTCAGATTGGAAGAGACTGCCGTATCTTGATTCAGAAAGTTAATCATGTTAAATAAGCACTAAACCTGACATAGGACGCTCTGCGACAAACTATCAGTAGTTTTAGCATTATTACTCTGCTAGCTTCACTACTTGCACGGGTGGCGTTAGCGGACGTAAGTGTCGCCAAGAGGTAGAGTGAAAAAAGAAGGTAATCAAATTTGTTAACAAGGTTTTTGATTTCACAATTAAAACAGTTTGTATTAGTAACTCGTTAAGACAACCATACCCCAGGACATCTTCATTTACCAAATACTTTGTCTTTATATCAGAACTCCTGCATTTAAATTATATGATATAAAATTTAATTATGAACACCCAGGTACACAAACGCTTAAGGATTTCAATATGAAATGCAGTCAACCTCAAATTGACTTGTTCTAGTCTAAACGTACGTGTAAATCGTGATATTTCAAACAAATTTATTTATACTGTTACGGTGCATCATCGACAGGAGCAAGCGTGGCACTTAGCGAAGATGAAGAAGACGCCTGTGTGTTGGGCGCTTGCGCGAGAGGCGACTCAGACATCTTGTTCGGCTGCCGATTCTCGGTGGACGCTATCCTGTAAGCCTAGACCTCGCCCCGCCACAATATATATATATATATATATATATATATATATATTGTAGGCATCTATTATGCGCTTCATCCTCATCTGAACAGCAGTCAATCATCATCTTATGTTCTGGCTGACAATCATCATCTTCTTGGAACGTGCGCTTCTTTTTTGGGTCCGTTGCGCTTGTTCGTTCCCGAGTTCACGACCAATAAACCTCGTTACAACCGAGTCGTCATACATACGTGGTGGAGGTGGATTGACGTTCCCAGTACCTCTCCTTACAACGCCTACTCGCTGGAGCTTTGTTCAGGCCGCCGCTTGGACCCTCAGTCCGCCAACATGTCTCAGAGTGAGTGGGTGGATGCCCTTTCTGCTCCCGTCTTTGCGCCGCAAGCCCCTCCTCTTTACATCGTAAACCACCAGCGTGACCCTCCGATCTTCGCTGGTCTCCGCGGCGAAGATGTGGAGGACTGACTCGATAAATACGAGCTAGTAAGCGCAACTAATCACTGGGACGACTCTAACAAACTCCGCCGAGTATCGCTTTATCTCACGGGCGGTGCCAAGACATGGTTCTTGAACCATGAGATTGACCTCACCGACTGGCCTGCCTTCAAGCAGCAGCTTCGCCAAGTATTCGGCACGCCAGCCGTTCGATCCGCTGTAGCGAGGAGGGCCCTAGATACTCGCCAACAACATCCCGGCGAGTCATACACATCTTACATCGAGGATGTCCTTGCGCTTTGTAGGTGCGTCAATTCTTCGATGTCCGAGTCGGACAAACTGCGCCACATCCTGAAGGGCATCGGAAGCATTGCCTACAATGCCCTTGTTGCCCAGAATCCTTCTACTGTCACTGACGTCGTCTCTACGTGTCAGCGTCTCGACGAACTTGATTCTGTTCGCCTTCAGTCGGGCAATAGTGAACACCGTACAGCAGACCGGGACTTGCGTGACATGATACGGGAGATCATACGAGAAGAACTTCAATCAATGGGCATCTCACAACCTTCTCCATCTGTCACAGAGCCTTCAAGCATGGCCCTCCGTGACATCGTAAGGGAGGAACTAACATCATTCACCGGTCCAGTCTACGTACAGCCACCTCCGTCTAGCCCTCCAACGTACGCGCAAGTTGCGGCCGCGCCTCCTCGCAACGTAAACTCTACTTCGCCGCTGCCATCATTCACGCCGGTTGCTGCTGCACCACCGGTCCACTTCTGGCCAATTCCACCCGACCCTCCGTCTGTCCACTTGAGTGCGCTATCTCCTGGTGCGTCGAACGCCCTCTACTACCCGCCTTGGCCCCCGTCTCGCCCAACATGCTTTTACTGTGGATATCGTGGCCATATATCGCGCTTCTGCCGCAAGCGCCAGCAGGACGAGCGTCGCAGGTACGACATGCGCGAATGGGACTTTTCCAGTGGGGATTCTTACACTCGGCATTATTTATCTGGACAGCAGCGGTCTCCATCTCCGCCCGCGTCGACTGAGACGCGGAACACTTACCGTTCAAGCCGACGCCGATCACCTTCGCCCTTCCATCGCTCCTCCTCTCCTCTTCGGCCAGCCTCGTTTACGACTGACAACCGGTCGAAAAACTAAATGATGCAGTTTTCGGAGGAGAAACTGCATGTAACAGTAGGACTCATATTCCTCCAGCACGCCCGTTCAACATGGTTTCTGTTACGGTGGAAGGAGTTCTCGTGGACGCTTTGGTGGACACCGGTGCTACAGTTTCTGTGATTAGGTATGATTTGTGCAAACGCCTGAAAAAAGTAATGACACCTTATAATGGACCCAATCTAGTCGAAGCCCAGGGGAACACTATCCGCCCTTTTGCTCTTTGTACTGCTCGTGCGTTTATTGATGACATTTTGCATTACATGAAGTTCACTGTGCTTACCCGGTGCTCTCACCAGCTAATTCTAGGGTGGGACTTCCTATCTTCTTTTTCAGCCGCTATATGTTGTGGTGAACGGATTCTGCACCTAACTAATACGGACTCCATGTTCGACGAAGGCGTCTACAAGCCACTACGCCTGTTCGCTCGCGAAGATCTCGACCTACCGCCACATCAAGAACGAATTGTGACCCTGATCTCTAAGGACATCGACCACGGTGACGTCTTGGTGTCCCCTTCGTTGACTTGCGTCGCAAAAGGCGTAGCCCTTGCATCAGGTGTCGTACGCTTTCACCATGGCTTCGCGCTCGTCATTGCTACGAATGAAACGCCAGAGAAAGTTCTCCTGCCAGAGGGCACTGCAGTAGCCTGTGTTGTGAATGCTGAGCCTGTCAGCGTCACGCCACTTAAACCTGTCTCTACCAACGACCGTTCTATGAGTAAGCCTGGCTCATCCTCTCCCTTCACAGCTCTTATCAGTGATGACTTAACAGCTATCCAGGCGCAGCAGTTGCTTGCGTTATTAACGAAACACGCCGATTTTTTTGACACCTGCTCAACGTTGGGCCGAACTACCACTGCAGCGCATCGCATTCAGACGGAGGGAACATCTATTGTACATAGCTGCCCGTACCGCGTGTCTCTCGCTGAGCGAAAAATCATCGAGGAAAACGTCGCTGACATGCTCCAACGAGAAATAATTCGTCCATCAACTAGCCCTTGGTCATCCCCTGTTGTTTTGGTACAAAAAAAAGATGGCTCCGTGCGCTTTTGCATTGATTACCGGGCACTTAACAACATCACACGCAAGGACGTATACCCCATGCCACGCATCGACGACGCCCTTGATTCACTGCAAGGCGCCGAATACTTTTCAAGCCTTGATTTACGCTCGGGATATTGGCGAATTCCCGTGCATGATTACGACAAAGAAAAAACGGCATTTGCAACCCCCAATGGCCTATAGAAATTTAACGTGATGCCTTTCGGGCTCTGCAATGCGCCCGCGCCGTTTGAACGGATGATCGACACCGTCCTGCGTGGTCTGAAATGGTCAACGTTTTCTCAGCACCTGAGGTGCTTGGATGACGTCCTAACATGCCTCGCTGGTGCGGGTCTGCAGCTCAACACTTAGAAGTGCCGTTTCGCCACCAAATCCATCAAGGTTCT